CAAGACTGACCTATTGTTATCCGTCAATTCAATCAATCCTCTGTTAGCAATGTCCTGAAAAATATAATGTAAAGACAATATTGCATTATTCCAAAAAAGATCAATGATAATGTTTGTAAATACATGCAAAAATAAATGATAATAATAATATTGAGTTCACATTCATAACAAAATTAGAACCGATTCCAGTAATCCTAGACGAAGTGAAGCCGATTCCGGTAATCGCTCGTCGATTTCGGTAGTATGGAAGAAATCATAGATCACCTTGTTTATTATGTAAAAGCAATTGCAATAAATATTTTCAAATATCATTTGAATTGTTTGTATGGCAAGATATTTTTAAAACGCTGAAATATAACAAAAAAAAACCAGACCAATTCCGGTATTTACCTGTTAATTCAGGCACTGTGATAGTAATTAGTCTATCTTAGATATCTAGTTTATAGTAAAAAAGTGATCTTTATTTCTCAAAAAAATATTCGTATATCAATGATATTATTTGTATTCAATAAAATAACATAAAAATAACTATATTACAGGCTGATTCCGCCCATCCTTCCCCTATATCGGCAGTATGACAGTAATTCGCCGATCTTAAGTCTCTTGTTTTATTAATCAAAAGCGAATTTATTTACAAAAATGAATATCGTTGAAAATGTTTATATCTTATAAAAACATGCAAAAGAAATATTAAAAAAAATCACAAATAACCAAATTACAGGTCGATTCCGGTAATCTATCGCCTATTCCGACAGGTTTCCCGTTTTTGCCGATCTTCAATATTAATCTTTTTATTATTTATAACAGCAATTTTTCATAAATCTTTTGCCTCTTATTTAATACCGATTTCAATAAACATTATAAAAAATCTTTTAAATTGTTTGTATTTAATAAAATAAGTCAAGGTTATTTTTTAAACGTTGAAATATTGGTGGGGGAAAACAGACCGATTCCGGTAATTGTCCGATAGCCCTGACACTGCATATAATTATGCGATATGGCAGTAATTCGCCGACCTTAGATCTCTAGTTTATTATTTAATAAGGATTCTTCATTTACAGAAATCTTTTTAGATATCTATTATATTGTTTGCATTTTTTTCTTGCAAAGTCCATAAATTACAATAATACAGGCCGATTCCGGTAATCATTCGGCTATTTCGGCTGTATGACAGTATATGTAACTCGCCGATCTTCGATCTCTTGCTTTATTAACCGAAGGCGAATTGAAATTTACAAAATAAAAGAATGAAAGAAACTTTTAAATATCATTCATAATATTTATATTTTACAAGACGAATATTAACAATGCAACAGAAACGTTAAAAAGTACAATAGACTAAATTATACGTCGATTCCGGTAATCCTTCGCCGATTCCGACAGTATGGCAGTAACTCGCCGATATGAAATGTCTTGTTTAATTAATAAAAAGTGATTTTATTGACAATAATCTGATTACATATCATTGCTATTGTTTATTTAATATCAAGGGTGCAAACATTTTGTTAAAAGTATAAAAAATAAGCAAATTACAGGCCGATTTCGGTAATCCTTTGCCGATTCCGGCAGTTTGCCCGTTTTCGCTGATCATAAATATTTGTTTATTATTATTATTTAAAAGCGTTTTTTTTCACAATCTCTGGGAAGATTAATGATAATATTTAGGTTTTATAAAAACATGCAAAAGGAACATTAAAAGTTGCATAAACAACGAAATAACAGGCCGATTCCGGTCACGGGCAGTTTGGCAGTAGCTCACCGATATTAGATCTCTTGTTAAATTAATCAAAAGCGATTTTATTTATAAAAATCTTTTCATAAATCATTGATATTGTTTATATTTCATAAAATTGCAAGAAAAAACTTAAAAAGTTTAATTATTACAAAGTTACAGGTCGATTCCGGTAATTCACCGCCGATTCCGGTCGATTCCGGTAATTCGGCCGATTCCGGTAAGTCGTGTAACCCTTAAAAAGGGGCATAATTCTGTCAATATTGTAGGCAGAGTTATCCAACTTGTCAAACTGATGTACCTTGTTACTATAAATAAGTATTGTAAGTTTCAATTGAATATCTCAAGTAATAATTGAGATATTTGACTTTACAAAAAAACTTTAACCAACGCAGACGCCGACGCTGACGCCGACGCCGGGGCGACTACAATAGCTCTCATATTCTTCGAATAGTCGAGCTAAAAAAAGCTTTAAAAACCAATGTGATCCAGATAGATCTTGTGCAAAGCATATCAACGAAATTTCAAAATCCAACAACAGGTCTAGACAAATTCCACTTGCCCGATTGCATTTACGAATGAAGCTCGGGTCGGGAGTAGGGGTGTGGATCGTCGGATAAGCGACGATCCGATCCATGATTAACCACTTGCTATTCACAAATTGAACCATAAATCTTTCAAAGAAACCCATAAAAACATGAACATTATTTCTGAAAACATGTCTATTTTTTTTAAATAATACTAAATATTAACATTTTATTTAACATATATGCAAATATAGACTAGGTTTAAAGGTTGAAAACGAGTCACGCCAATATAAAATTCCACTGGTAAGCAAAATTTAGTTAAAATGTTTGGAAATACTTTGATATTTCAACTGAAAATGAAATAAAAGAACAGTCTGAAAATATGCCATGGTGATTTGACTTATACCGTTGTCTAATCACATGAAAAGACAAGTACATGTATTTCCAAATACTGGAAGGTGGAATTGTATATCGGCGCAACTCTTTTTCAGCTAGGACTTTAAAACATGGAGTCCATGGACTCCCAACCCTGAAAAAGTTGGGAGTCCAAAAGCGCGTCGCAATTTATATGTTTACAGATTAGTCATTCAATGCTCACAATAGCATTGCTGATATTTTGAATCTTCAAGAGACTTCCAAAGTTTATAGTTATTCAAAAGAAACTCTGAACTACATAGTATAATTATTGTTTTGTTGTTAGTATTTATTATGAAATTATTTCATTATAATGCATCAACACATGGAAATCGTTTTGTTTTTTTCACTTTTATACCAAATCAAATTTTATTCTGGTTAAATAAGTCCACTCTAAAGACAAAAAAATTATATTTGTAAAAAAAAACCGTAAATGTATATAGGCAGCGTTTAGCGGAATGAATAGGAAAATCCTGTACAGCTTCACACAGTGTGTAAGAGATTCATCCGATCGACAATTATTTTAGCAAATATCTTCAAAAGGGGGCAAATTGAAGATCGATATTTAAAGATTTAATGTTGATTAAATAATAAAGGAACAATTCATTCGCATGTTTGGCTTGGAAACCGAGAATTTTTGCGAAATTTTAGGGTTTCTGGCGAACGTGAAATCGCCGATGTTCGGGATCAATTTTCGGATAGAATCTAAATATCAAAGAAAAGGGTATGTGTATTATGGTTTGTTGTCCTGGCATTTCGGCACAATATCTTAAATTCTTAATACTCTTATAGAATGAAACTAAAGCAAAATTGTGCCTAGAAAATGACGAAAATATTCGACAATCATTCAAAATTACACTCATTTGTAATTTAAGAAAACAGTCTTTAAACTTGCGGCGTAAAAAGTCGATAATTTTATCCTTTTGTCGGTAAAATTTGCTAATTTCCAATCAACTTAACTGTTGATCAAAGATATAGAATTATCACCTCGTGTTATATCTGGTAATTACATGTACTGACTCTGTACAGCGCGTGTATACATTAGTCTGATCACTATTTCGTGTTAATGATCGGAAGCGTTTTTGCTGATTGGCTAATCGCTTCACGGGTCGATGTGCATAGGACCGCCTACCTATAGACTGACACGCACTGACGCATTTGTGTATTTGTGGTTGTAAACAATCGGTAATGTTTATGCGTCCCCAGGCAAAATTAAGCGTACGTGGAATCCTTGCTCTGAAATATTTGTGTCCAGCTGTAATAAACATGCATACCGGGACGCAGAAATAAGCGTCCCCGAGAACCCTGAGATTTGTTTACATAAACATACTTTAAAACCTTTTTTCAGGTATTTTAGTCCAATCAACACCTTCATTGCGAAAAGATTAAAGTTGCACAGTAGCGATTAATTGATAAACACCTGTAATTATCATTAGGTCTAGTAACAAATTAATCAACTCCCAATATATTTGTTTAAATACCTAATAAATTATTAAAAGATATGTTTATATTAATTTATTAATTTAAACATTCAGAAAGGTTAACTTATATTGTGTAGTAATCTACTAAAGATTCTCTTTTTCTAATTTATTTAAATTTCTAATTATATTAAATTATTGATACAAATAAAACGGATGTAGGACATTGCAAATCTGCACATATGTTGACATTTCTCTCAAATTAGGGGGAAAACTGTCAGGGAGTTAATGTCAGGTGAGCCGTAAGGGTAGAATAGTATGACTACCACATTTTTCATCTTCTGTGTTTAAGGTTTTGATGTTTAATTAACCGTCTCAAAATTATATGTACAGTTGTTCTCCCTGAGGGTGTGATGTCTGTTTTGGTATTGCTGTAATTTAACCTGTGCTACTTTACATTTGCAGTGCCACCAATAAACAAGGCAGGCTGACTAACAATTATTGCTTTTAATCTTTTACTTAACTTGGGATTCGATTGATATGTGTGCTGGTTTGAAAGGCTTTCCGTTTGAAAAGACGAAGCAGCCAATTCAAGAAAATAAGTCAGCCAACCTAAATCATAGGAGATTCATATGATTTACAAATTTATGGAAATATATGTAACATATTACCCAAGAGCACCAACCTATAAAATTTAGGAAAGGAAGTTTTCATGGTAAAATGCTTAATTTGATTCAAGGTGGAATAATTTTGCATCTTAGAGACATCACTGTTGTAAAGAATATATAAGGCCTAAAAAAAAATTATGTCTGTTTCGGGTAACCCGACCCTACCTATAAAAATGCGCCGACCCTAACTATTTTTTCCGTTTCTGGACAAAAAAAAATTGTTAGCCAAAGGGAGGATAAATGATAATTGAAAGCTTGAGACGCTCTCGTAAAACTCTCAGACGATTTAGATCGGTCATTTTTAGTTATACGTGTTTTGATTGGCTCGCGCTGTATTGTGGTCCAATGAATATCACGCTATCGGAAACAAAAATTCTACATGTAGACGATATTTTTAGAAGGGAATTCCTACCGGAAGTATTCTCCGGTTCCGTTTTACATACATTGACATAGAGCGGAACGGGGAACCACGCACGTGTTGCGAGAGAACACTTCCGATTTAGGAATTTCTACATGTAGAATTTATCTTAGAATACAGGCACATAGGACTTAGTGTCACTCGTGGAGGATAAAACCATTTAAAAGTATGTAAAATCCAGTTGTTTGCATGTGTGTTCGACCCGTTTGATCTCTTTGTTGATGTAGTATTTCATGCGTAAATACCAGCTTACAATGTACATGTCATGACGGTCTCCTCTTTCGGACCTGGGTGATATTTGACTTTCTGGCTTTACTGTGGTAATTTACGTGGAAATAAGGATCTGTTCATAGACAGTTTTGAAAGAAAAATATATATTGCATTGATTTCATGCGAAAACCCGACGATACTACCTGCCGGTAGAAAATTTTGACACCGAGAACGAACATACCCATAATTTTCGTACTCGGATGTTGTCAGTGAAAATTTTTTTTTTAGTAGATCTATATTGATATTTTATTGCATAAATAACAAGGTTAAACACGTTTTAGGTAAAATCAATGCCACTTTTTTTATTGCTTTTAATATTCAAAAATTTGAAAAGCTGTTTTGATATGTCCTGTGCCACACTTCAAAATGAATATTAAAACAGTAACATTAAAATGAAAAGGGTGAAAAAAAAAACACTGAAGTTACACATTTCAGCTTGATTGGAAAATTGAAAGTGTTACAATTTTATAAGTTCAAGTTCAGACAGTAGTTAGAGGCAAATGAGACCCTAGTCCCACTGAAAATCAAGTGCACTCGAGTATAAAGTATAGCCACAGGTCATATGTACATAGATATTCTGGAGACCTGCAAAGCTTTTCCAGTATATTTTTCATCCTCTTTTGCATACTGAAACAAATTTTTAGCCAGACTTGGAGTCTGACTCTGTACTGTGCATCATTTTGTTTCATACCGTCCCATTTTCCATGTGTTATTGAGATCTAGTCTTTGATTTTTTTCAGATGGGCCATGGATACTATTAGACGACACTTTGAATGACATCTACAAAATGCCAATTCAACAAAAAGCTTGGCTATTGTCTTTGATATGTTGTCATACATGTATCTGATAGAAAATAAACAGTATTTGATTGACAAGGGTGTCATTTTACAAATAGAAGTGTTTGCACTTTTTATGTGAACCAGTGTATCAAAAGTGCAATTCAAAATTATAGATTTTGTTAAATTGTACAATAGTGTCAAAATATAAACTTTGTTATACTGTAAGAGCTTCAAGATGTCAGCTCTACAATTGTTAATTCAATGAAATGTGCAGTATTTAATGCACGAATATCAAATAGTGAAAAACAAGTCTAGATTTTTAAATAAAACTTTGAAAGCCAGTTCACAGCATGTCATTTTAGCTCTTTTATTGTGCTTAACTCCTACCACGCAACCAATGTAGAAATAGATCAGCAGAATTGAAACCATGCAAGCTGATGAGAATCTGCACTGTTTGCTGTTCAGATTAGAGTCAAACTTAAAGTAGTGCCTGTAGCAAACAAACATCAAAATTAACACATGTTTGGGTATATTGTCTTTATTCAATATTGAAATAACATTAAATCGCATTAAAGCTATGCAGATTTTAATCAGAATTATTGTTTATATGATAAAATATGATAATACAAAGTCAGGCAATGTCAGTAGTGTAGGAAAGACTGCCATGTGCAAGAAAACACTCTGAACTTACGACAGATTTTGAAAAAAAAAAAATAAAAAAAATAAAAAAAAATCCCTACCTACCCTACCTAGCAATTTTGGGAAGGTTACCCTAAACAAACAATTTTTTTTTTTTGGCCTAAAGAACAGTAAATGTCAAAGCTGATGAAGACCTATTCATATTCAAATCATTGACAAGGTTAGAAAACATCTAATTAGAAAGCCACATCGTTAACTGTAATTTCAAATTATGCAGCAGCATAAATAACGGCCGCATAAATAATTTGGAGGTTTGGGCAATTTTTTTACAAGTTCAATTTGCAACTTTTACGAATGACACAGAGACTGTTTACTAAATACTTACATAAACATCAATGAATAGCACTAACAATAACAATGTGCCCACTCTTTTCAGTCAATTCTTGATGGTTTAAAGATGCAGAGCATAAAAAACAAACAAATTCATCCGAAAACTGGGACGAGAATTTTTTATAAACAATGTAAATTTTAACGGTTTATCCTTCACAGAAAGGGTCAAAATGCTTCACACAATATTTATCATATGTATATTTCCAAAGTGAATGAAGTGTCACAGTAAATAAATCCATCACGGTTGCAAAATGGCGTTAGACAGCAAAAAAGTTAGTCTTTCCGATAAAAAGTTCCAATGGCGGCCATTAAAATTTGCAGTGAGGGTTGAACATTTGCGTACCGCGGCGTTCCAAAAACCATGACGTCATTAATTAACATTTTAATTGAAGAATGATAAAAACATTTTTCGTACCATGCATTTTGCGCAAATCATTTTCATAAAGTATTGAAATAAATAATTTTCTAAATCTGTTGTAGTTGAACTGGCCCTACGGACGGGTACGGATTTTACCGGAAAATACCGGAAATGAAAAGCGTACTGCTTATTGCGCATGCGTACGTCAATCATAATAAATTGACAGGGCACCTGCAGCCGGATGATAACACTATGATGCTGAATGATGATGCTGACTGAAACGTAACGATTAAAAATACATTGAAATATATTTTTCACAGAATTCATAGGTACTTTATCTCAAAATGCTTGACCCTTCATCAAGCGAAGAAGAATCAGAAAATGAAACTGTTGAGGATGAAAATTCGGACGTCCTCAGCATCCCAAGTGTTGAGCAGAGAAGTTTGTCAACCAGTGGGGACAACTTGAGTGTCGTTACAGGGGCACAGGTGCATTCACGGTCTAATAGCATTCGACCAGGGAGTCCGAGTATCCAACCTGTTGAACGTGAAAAGTTAGTTGAACATGAAGCAGATAAATTGGAAAAAGAGGAAGAAGAAAGAAAGAAAAGGTTACAATTGTATGTGTTTGTAATGAGATGCATAGCCTACCCTTTCAATGCTAAACAACCAACAGACATGGCTAGAAGACAAACTAAAATAACCAAACAACAACTTCAAACTATAAAAGAGAGATTTCATGCTTTTTTGAATGGGGAGACTAGTATAGTAGCTGATGAAGCATTTACAAATGCTGTTCAAAGCTATTATGAAGTGTTTCTGAAAAGTGATAGGGTAATGAACATGGTAAAAAGTGGGGGATCATCTGCTAATGATTTTCGCGAGGTTTTCAAAAATAATTTTAAAAAACGTTTTTAAAAATTTACCTAAAATTTGGTTTGGCCCTTAAGTAAAAAAAACTTTTTTAAGTTTTGGTGAAAAAATTTGATCCCAATTTTCCGGGGAAAAGAAGACCCAACCAAGCAACCCCAGCGAACTCTCACCCCCGGCCATCAGATTTAAATTTTCTTAGTAAAAAACCAAGTTATATAAAATTTTTCCCCAGAATTTTGGGGTTTTAAAGAAGATGGGGCATCAGCCCTTAAAATTGATGCCCAGGTAAAAAAAACAAAATTCAGTTTTTTTGTTGCTTAAACTTAACCAAAAAATTTTTAAACCCTTCTGAATTTATTACAATGTAGTGGAAAAATTTGCCATCTTTAAATTTGGGAACTGCCCTTTAAATTAAAAAGGGTTTTCATTTAAAAATTTTAACTTAATTTTTGACCACCTTTCTTTGTAGAGCCTGCTGATTGCTTTAATTGCATGTATGTGAGGTGCCCTGGCCTTTATTGAAAATTTTCGAAATAAAAATAAAAAATTAAATTTAATCGGGAAATTTTTTGCCCGGGCTGTAATCTAATTCATTAAAAAATATAAAAAGTCGAAAAGTTTCTTTTTTATACAGAAAACTTTTAAAAAAGTAAATTTGTTTTGCTTTATTTCAATGTGATTTATCCGAACAATTTTTCAATGGCAAAATAAGTTAGAAATTTTTTATGAAATTTGAAAAATTTTTGTCAAAAAAAAACATGTTTTTTTCATTTTTTTGTTTCCTGTAAACCATAATGATTTATTTTCCAAAAATAAAAACTTATTAAATTCAATCTCATGAAATTTAAAAATTAAAATAAAAACTTTTTTCTAAAAGAAAATCTTTTTTTTTTTTAAAATTTTTGTTTTATTAACCCATAATTAAGGCAAAAGAAATTGATACAGTAGCTGCATTAAAATCACTTCAAACAATATAATTCAGGGGTTCTCGGGGGACGCTTATTTCGGCGTTTCCCGGGTACGCATGTTTATTTACAGCTGGACGCAAAATATTTCAGAGCAAGGATTCACCCGTTCGTCTTTAATTTTGCGCTGGGGACGACATAAAATTACCGATTGTTTACAACCAAATACACAAATGCGTCCAGCGCGTGATCTAGATCTATAGGTAGGCGGTCCTATGCCACATTGACCCCGCTGAAGCGATTAGGCCAATCACGCGATAACGGCTTCCCCGTCATTTTCACGCAATAGTTTTACACGCACTGTACAGTACATGTTAATTACCAGATATAACACGTTACACGAGGTGATATTTTTTATATCTTTGATCAACAGTTGATTGGGAAATTAGCAATTTTACCGACAAAAGGATAAATATTATCGACTATTTAAGCCGCAAGTTTAAAAGACTGTTTTCTCAAATTCAAATGAGTGTAATTTTGATCATGATTGCTCGAATATTTTCGGCGATTTCCGTTCGCCAGGAAACCCTAAAATTTCGCAAAAATTCTCGCGTTTCCCAACCCAAACATGGCGAAATGAATTGTTCCTTATTATTTAACCAACCCTTAAAGTCTTTAAATATATGATCTTCAATTTGCCCCTTTTTGAAGAATTTGCTTAAAATGTTGTGGGTCGGACGAATCTCTTACACACTTGTGTGAAGCCTTACACGATTTTCCTATTCCCATTCGCTAAACGCTCCATATACATTTCTTTTTTTTTTTTTTACAAATATAATTTTTTTTGTCTTTAGAGTGGATTAATTTAACCAGAATATTACATTTGTTTGGTATAAAAGTAAAAAAAAAAAAAAAAACGATTTCCATTTTTGATGCATTATAATGAAATAATTTATAATAAATACTAACAACAAAACAAATATTATACTATGTAAGTTCAGGTTTCTTTATAATAACTAATAAACTTTGGAAGTCTCTTGAAGATTCAAAATATCAACAATGCCATTATTGTGAGCATTTTAAAGACTTAATCTTAAAACAATTAATTGCGAGCCGCGCTTTTTGGACTCCAACTTTCTCGAGGGTTGGGGAGTCCATGGATCCATGTTTAAAGTCCTTAGTGAAAGGAAACCCTGATTATTTATAATATTTATCAAACATTTTTTTATGGTTAATTCAAATCAACTTTGGGGTCCATTTTTGCATTTTTTTTCAAGCCAAAACATAAAAATAAACATTGTGACATATCTCAATACAAAAATTTTAAATTGTATCCAAATTAAGCCTAAAAATCGTTTTGTCATTTTTTTTTTTTCAAAAATATACATTTTTTGGGAAATGTGAATCTAAATTTCTTCAGAAGTTGTTTTTTTAAACCCGCCCCAACTTTGCATTTTTGACAAGATTTAGTCAATATTAGTCCAATGTTTCTATCTTATTTTCCTAATAATTTTTATATAGTCTTTCCCAACCCAAAAAAGAAAAATTTTTTAAATTTTGTAACTTTTAATATTTTTCCAGTTGAACTTTTTAATTTTTTTTTTATACTTTTTTTTTCCTTTTTATTAAAAGGGGAATTTTGAAAGTTAAAATTTCATTTTCAAAGTATATACATTGAAATTTATACAAAAAGACATTTTTATTTTTAAAACCTATAGTTAATACTAATTTTTGCATGCCCATTCATTTCCGCCCTTTTATCCCAAAAATTTTTACTGGGCCCTTTAAAATGTTTAGAACCCCAAACGGGTTGCCCGTGCCTGTTTTTATATTTTTTCCCAAGTGCATGTTCTTTGTACATTTTTTTAAAGTGCGTTTCTTTACTATTAACAAAAAAACCACTATCCCCCCCCAATGTACCCAAATCCCCCAAAAACCCCAAAAATTTTTTAATTTTTAAAATTTTAAATTTAAAGCTGAAGAAATTACTTGTTTTTACTTTGTTTTAAAAATACATAAATTGAAATTCTTTTTTACTAGTTTAAAATTTTTAAACCCCTTTGTTCAATTAAAAGTTTCAGTTGGGAAAAATTTTTAAATACGGTTACACGATTTCCGGGAAATGGGGCCCAAATTCCCAAAATCGACCGGAATCGGGGGGTAAATTTTCCCGGGAAATCACCTGAACTTTTTAATAATTAAACTTTTTAATTTTTTTTTAAATTTTTAAAAATATAAAAAAAACCCCCAATAAATTTATAAAAAGATTTTTATAAAAAAAATCGTTTTTGATAATTAAAAAAGAGACCCTATATCCCCCCGGGGCTTACTGCCAAACGCCCTTTGCCCCCGGAATCGGCCTGTTATTTCTTTTGTTTATGAATTTTAAATTTTCCCTTTTTGCATTTTTTTAAAAAAACCTAAAATCTTTAATTTCCCAAGATTGTAAAAAAAAATTCGCTTTTAAAAAATAAAAAAAAAAAATTTTTTATTGATCACAAAAAGGGGCCAAAAATGCCGGAATGGGGAAAAGGTTTTACCAAAAAATGGGCCTGTAATTTGCTTTTTTCTTTATTTTTTAAAAAAAAAAATGTTTCCCCCTTTGTTTATAAAAAAAAAAATAGCAATAAAAAATTGTAATAATTTTTGTCAAAAAAAATCATTTTTTAATTAATTTAAAACAAAATTTAAATATCGGCGGAAAAATGCCAACTGCCCCGGAATCGACAAAGGAAAATTCCGGGAATCGAGGGGTTAAAAATTTTAGTCTTTTTGAAATTTTTTAAGGGTTTCTGTTGCATTTTAATATTCGCTTATAAAAAAATAAATATATGAATAAAATTTAAAAGTTTTTTTCTTTCTTTTTTTTGAAAATTTTAAATTCCCCTTTTTGGTTTAAAAAACCCAAGAATCGAAAATCGGCGATTTTCAAAACGTCATACAGCCAAATAGCCCCGAAATATTCCCGGAATCGGCCCTGTATTATTGAAATTTTAAAGGGGACTTTGCAAAAAAAAAAATAAAAACAATACCCATTGATTTTCTAAAAAAATTTCTGAAAATGAAAAACCCAAATTAAAAAATTTAAAACTAGAGATCTTAAGGGTCGGCGAATTACTGCCATATCGCATATATGCAGTTGTCAGGGCTATGGAAATTACCGGAATCGGTCTGTTTTTTCCCCACCAATATTTTCAACGTTTTAAAAAATAACCTTGAATATTTTATTAAAACAAACACGAATATTAAACGATTTTTATCAATGTTTATTGAAATCGGTTATTAAAAATAAGAAGCCAAAAGATTTATGAAAAATCCGCTGTTATATAATAATAAAAAGATTAAATTGAGGATCGGCAAAAACGGGAAACCTGTCCGGGAATAGGCAATGGATTACCGGAATCGACCTGTAATTTGGTTATTTTGGTGAACTTTTTTAAATATTTCTTTTGCATGTTTTTATAAGATATAAACATTTTCAACGATATTCATTTTTGTAAGTAAATTCGCTTTTAATTAATAAAAAAAGGGACCTAAGATCGGCCGAATTACTGTCATACTGCCGATTATAGGGAAGGATGGGCGGGGAAAATCAGCCTGTAATATAGTTATTTTTATGTTCTTTTATTAAATGCAAATAATATCATTTGATATAAAAAAGATTTTTTATGAAATAAAGGTCACTTCTTATTATAAACTAGATGTCTAAGATAGACTTAATTATTATCACAGTGCCTGAAATTAACAGGTAAATACGGAATTTAGTCTGTTATTTTTGTTTATTATTCAGCGTTTTAAAAATATCTTGCCATATTTTTATTAAATACAAAACAATTCCAAATGATATTTTTAATAATATTTATTGTAATCGCTATTACATAATAAAACAAGGTGAATCTATGATTTCTTCCATACTTACCGAATCGACGAGCGATTACCTGGAATCGGCTTCACTTCGTCTAGGATTACTGGAATCGGTTCTAATTTTGTTTATGAATGTGAACTCAATATTATTATTATCATTTATTTTTGCATGTATTTACAAACATTATCATTGATCTTTTATGAGAATAATGCAATATCGTCTTTACATTATATTTTTCAGGACATTGCTAACAGAGGATTGTTTGAAATGACGGG